GGATCCAAGTTTGACATCCTCTCTGGTACATTTAGAATAAATAAGTAAACAAACAAACAACTGCCTGCTAGCTTTAAATTCTTTGCCTTCATCTGCGAGTGCTGCAGTCAGCCTGTCTCTGGTTTATTTCCTTATGACTGGGTTCAGCCTGCACAGGCTGTTGTTTTTGTTCGGCGTGAGGCTCCCTGTGCATGCCCTGCTTGTGAAGCATGCCGATAAGAGGCACGGTGTGAACGGCAGCTTATGTCATGTGCACCACAAGATATGGCAGCACTGCTGCAGTGGAGGCAGCCCCGGTGGTAACACAGTTCTCTGAGTGTGCCTTGGATTGCTTTGGATTCTCCTGCCTAAAAACATGGGTGTTGATTGAGAAAAAGTCCCAGCGTTCAGACGTGACAGCGTAAATGTAGTGTGGTAGACGCTCCCTCTGTGACCACTTAACCCAGAGCAGGGTAATCCAAGCAGTATAGACTGTCCTGGTCAAATAAACTAGCATACAAGGAAGAATGACACACTTTGTGTTACATTGCCTTAGTGAAGCACCCCTCTTTTCTAGGATGGAGGTACAGCAGCCAGCAGCAAGTCCTGTAAAAGACTTTTCCTTCTAGAGGTGGAATCAACAGAGGTAGTATTCTACTACAGGCCTCTCTCATATATAAAGTTTAATTGAATTTAGCTCTACCACGTACCGAAGACAAAATATAACCCTTAACATGATTATTGGTTTAAAAATGGTAAGCATTTTTGCATATATGTGATGCTATTTATTTGTTTAGCATGGGCCTTATAAAAAAAAAAAAAAGAAAAAAATACTTGAGCAAGGGTATCAGCTGTTGTCTGTTTGGCCTGATACATTTGCAATGTTTTTTATGGAAGAAAATGTTGTCCTAAACCACTATTGTTCCTCTGTTTCTGACAAGTAATGTGATATACAGTGAAATCCTGTCCCTTCCTACAATGTTTGCTGTTATTAGTATTCTAGGTCTCTACTAATGTCACAACTTATGTGATAAGCATGGAAAATTCTGTATAATGAATCTTTAAGCCAATAAGAAGATATTATGAACAAAAAATGTGTCTAAAAGTGTAAAGATAATAGCTTAATATAAAAATATAATGCTTTTATATTTTTATTGGGGAAGGAAAAGGAGATCACAAAATTTCTGCCTGCAGAAGGAAGAGGGCCACAGGTAACAATTATATAACCCATGTTCTTTGGTCTAATCGAAGGTAAACACTGTATATTGATCCTCAGTGGTCTTATGCAATAAACTATTCTAACATCATACCAGCTATGCACACCTTTCTGTCCTGAACCACTTCTACCAGCTACACTGATTGAGCTCTTTGTTCTGTGATCCACCTCCTCCTTCACTGGAGGAGCAACAATGGCAATGCAGTGAACCACTTAATTTGGAATCTAGCATTTCTGTTAGGGCCATTTAATTCTGAGATCTTATAATCCTCAAAAAACAAAGAAAAACTGAAACACTTGGAAAATACAGAATGATGATGTACTACTCTAATCATGGAGGTCCCAAGGAATAGGTCCCAAGTGCAGCTCATTATCATCACAAACATTGATCTGTTTGAAATCTGCATCTAATCTGATGTATGTTTCTTTTCAAAATGACAAAAACATTTTGATTTTACACTCATGATGTTTGAGTCAACTTATAAAAAATGATGAAATGGAAAATGGGAATCTGCTAATAAATAATTTTGGCTAAATCTTATATCATACCAGTGCTACGCTTTCAAATGCCCCCCCCCCCCCTTTTTTTTTTTCAGATAAATACTGAGGTAAAATTTTCTAGCTCCTTATGTTATCTCGCTATTGGTTGTTGTCTCTAATATAAGCCTATTCTCTACCCAGTTACCAGCTATGTATTAGAGAATTAACCACAACTGTTAAGGTCACATCAGGTCAACTTTAAAGTGATAAAACCTTAATGGAGTAAGGGATCAAGAACATAACAAAATGTCTTATTTCCGTTTTCCACATCTCTGGAGAAATACTTTAAAGTTTACTAAGAAATACTTATCTAAACATACTAATCTTTTCATATTATTTCAAATATAGGTAGTTGAATTCTAAATCCAGTGATACAATATTACAATAAAATAAGTCATATTAAATAAATCATGTTGTGGATCTTAGAAATATTGTCCAAATCTGCAATCCTAATATATATGTATGTTGTTATTCCCAGAGGGCTCTAAACAAAAAGAACCTTGTGTTGCTATGTTTGTTAACATATTTAATAATTTATGATATAATAAATTACCCCTCTTTTGTTTATTAAGACTTAGCTAAAAGCTGGCTAGAAAACCAGTGGCTCTAATCTCTCTAATCTCAACCACTGATTTTGTTGCCTCAGTATCTAACTAGCAGAGATCCTCTAGCTAGTACTTTTGGCATTTTGAAGGTGTTATGATCTTATAGGACAAGAACTTTAAAAACAGTAAAAATATTACTAAGATGATATTTTAGTTCTGCAAAAAGAACTAGTACTTTTCGGGGGAAAAAAAAAAGTTGCTGTTTGGAAAGAGCATGTTTGTCCTTGTAGCTTTCATCCTGCCAACCTTGTTTCCCTTCTCTAGCTCCTCTGTTTCTCTTAAAATCCCCCAGAACCTCACTAAACCTCACTAGAAAGGTTTCTAGAACCTCACTTTGGTTATGATGCTTTTACCTCCCGTAGAATCTACAACTTATTTCTTAACAAAATCTGTCTTTCCCCTTGTGGAGGTTTGGTTTCTACTATTGACCTCGCTCTTTCTTGTTTCTCCAGATCAAGAGCATAACTGATGGAGTTAAATTCTGCATATCTTTTTTTGAAGGCCACCATTAACATCTTGCTATTCTCATTAGTAACAAAATTTAAAAAATTATTGTAAGGGACTGACTTCTTGGCTAACATTTTTTTCAGAAACTCCATAACTTTTTTCATAGGCTCGCTCTTTTCCCCCTCCGTGTCAATACCTTTGTATCAACATTACCGTTAAGCACTTTCATTTTCTGTATTGATATTTCTATTTTTTGCCTTCCACTAATCACATTTGTCCTGTCTTTCATTTCACCTCCATTTATCCCATTACACTGCATGTCTCAGTGCTCACAGTTAATCTCCTCCAAGCATTTCTTCTGTTTTGCAACTAATACTTCTGCAGAAATCCTTCAACTATGCACAGACCTTCTACTTCCAGTCAGCTAAGCCCTTCTGATTTCCCCTGTGCAAATCTCTTCGTTAAAATCATATACAGTCCATGTAACTCAGGGAATAGAACTATATTATTCTTGCTATATAGATACACAGCTACCTGTATGGCGCAGGATAGCAAGGCCATTGTCGCATGGAGGGGCAGCATCCATTAGAAACTTAGGAAACTGGAGTGAACGAGCAGGTGAGTGGGAAAGCGACAGATGAGAGAGGGAAGAGGCTCGTGGGTGACTGGGAAGAAGAAATGCAGCAAAATCAAACTGTGCAGGGGTGAGGGCCAAAAATAATGGAGAGATTCAAACGGATGTCAGAGGACAAGGCTAAAAACAGACAACAGTCACTGAAAACTGGGAACAGAAAATGCAGAGACGACAGCACAAAAGAGCAGTAAACAGGGGGGTACAGTTGCCCTAATGCTGCAAACGCACAAGTTTAATACACTGAAATTAAAGGACGGCGGCAGAACAATATGCAGCAAGGCCAAAAGGCTCGAACAGAAGGGCTGTAATAAATATTTATTACAATAGCAAGCGTAAAGCCACCTCAGACCTTATCATTTCCCCTGAACCCATGGCGGCCCAGCACCACACCAGCAGCCCGCTGATCCCGGGCCTCTGGTCGGGGGTCCCGTCCCCGTGCCCTCGGCCTGCAATCGCTGTCACGGGGGTCCTGACACGGTGTCAACCTGGCACCGAACTGTGCACGGGAAAAGCGGACGAAGCGTTTCAGCTTCTCACCGCCTGGCAGCAAGGGAGGAAACGTGGCTGCCCCGTCCCCGCCCGCCGTACCCAGCAGCGCCAGGAGGAGGCTTGGCGAGGGCTACCGGGCACGGCGGGGCGGAAAGCAAGCCGTCAGGGCGGCCGTCCCTCGGCCCCACGGCGGAGGAGGGGACGGCGGCAGAGCCGCCACCCCCGCGGCGGCGGCCGGTTGCCCGGGCGAAGGAGACGCCGGGCAGCAGCCTCCGCGCCAACAAAATGGCGGCGGGCGGCAGCGGGGTCCGGCGCGGCGGGGGCCTGCCCGGGGTAAGGCGGCGGCTCGGGCACGGGGAGACGAGCGGGGGCAGCGGGAAGGGGCGCGGGGCAGGGTGGCGGGGCTGCGCCCAGCCCGCGCACTAACCCGTCCTCGCCGCAGGTGCGGAGACCGCCCGGCGGGCCCCTGCCGCCCGCCGCCGCGGCGACCGGCGTGCTGAGCGGCGACTTGCTGGCCAAGGAGGAGGAGTACAAGTAAGGAGGCGGCCGGGGGCGGTGGCCAGGCCCTGTCACCTCAGCCTTATCCCGCTCGCGGCTGGCTGTCCTAGCGGAGTTACAGTTAATCCCCTGTATCCGAGTCCCTCAGCTAGTTTCCCCCAACGCCTGCGGAGGAGAGTAGCGAGAGCAACGTTCTAACTTTCTCCCGCCGCGGTACAGCCTTCCTGCTGCCCTCTTACACAGGCTGCACGCTGCTCTAGGCCTCGCTTCGATCCCACAGCATTGGACGGCAGGTTTTTCTGCATTTAAATCGCCGGCATTACTTTTAAATTATGAATATATAAGTGCTTAAGCCCGTTAGAAAAAGCTTAAAAGCTGTAAAGGTTGCGACAAATGCAGCAGGAGCACATGTAAAAGCACTCGCTCAGTTACCTGTCAGTTCTCAGCCCTTGTGAACGGCGAGGACGTGCAAGGAGCCATTAGTCACACTGCGTGAAAAGCTGTAAAGTGAAGCATGCAAGAACACAGCTTATTTTAACCTGTACATAGCTGTAGTGACACATTTTAATTTTGCGATCAAGTAATGCAATAGTATGTGACTCCTTCCCCAACCCCTGCTGCTAGGTATGCACCTAAGGTACGGACCGTGCTAAAAATGGAAAGTGTCGAGGAAATAGATACAGAATGTGTATCAAGCAATGACATGGCCAAAAACAAGGACACCCTTTATCTCTCAGAATTATAGTCTAAACCTTCCTGTTTAATGGGCATAGGCGTTTTTTTACTATTAATTTGACAAAAACCTCAGGAAATTGTTGCAGTGTAACTTTGTTAATACTCTGCCATATACTTCAGTGTTCCTTTGTAGGAGTTACTAAAATTTCACTTAGTTGAGGCAGAGATACTGTTATGCTTACATTTATTTCTTTTAAATCTTTCAAAACCTTGGTGACAAGCATTCTTACTCTTTCAGGCGACTGAATGCGGAATTAGAAGCAAAAACAGAAAAACTGGTGCGTCAGGCTGAAGAAGTAATTGTGAGTAGGTTATGCAGACTGTTACATAATTTAGCCTCAGTTTACATGCACACAGGGTCTCGTTTCAAAAGAAATTATTTAGACCATGACAACTAAAAGTATTTTGGTTTCAAATGCAATCTAAGCTTTTAATTTTGTTTTTTCAAAATTGTAAACTTCTACTAAAAACACTTCAAAAGATGGGTTTTATATAATTTCATCAGGTGGGTAGATGTTCACACAGATGTGTAGAGCATTTGTGCAGATATATACATAAAACCACATAAAAACTTGATTAGTTAAAAAATTATCTGTAGGTGGTTTTATGTCTTAAATACTAAGAAAAAAATTAGTGTATGAAAACCAGATACTGTTGCAGTAACATGCTAGTGAAATAGGATCTACATTGTTCAAGCTGAAAGAAATACAAAGAATAAGCAACAAATAGAAAATATGTAGTTAGTAAGAAGGAAGCTTTCTTAAAAAGAAAATTTTCCTGTTTATTGTCAGTATTCTCTTTTAATGTTGGTGTGGCTGTGTACCAGATAGAGTCAAGTTTTTATATGAAAATTGGACAAATTAAAAAGGGAACGGGGGAGATATAGTTCATACCCAAAACAGTTTGGAGAAGGTGTTCCGCATATTAGATATATGCATTGTAAATACACTCAAATAAATAAGGCTTAAAAAGCAAATTATTAAGTCTTCTGGAAAGCTATACTTATATGTACTTTTCCAACTGTTGAAACTTCATTTTTATTTCCTGTGAAAACATACTCTTCTCTTGAGCTGTGACATGCTGAGGCTAACTGCTTGACATTTGAACAGAAGCAGATGAAGCGGCCAAAATAGTATCTAGTCTCTTTCCTTTAAAAAACAGCAACAACAAAACAACTTTTTTTTTCTCTCCTCTCTCTAAATACAGCAGAAGATAAAATATTTTAGGACACTTAATATACCACATGGCACTGCCAGATTGCACAGATATACGTTTAACAGCCTAAGTTAAAAACAAAAAAAACCAAAAAACAAAAAACCAAAAAACAAACAAGACACCGAACAGGACAACTGCATTTTGTTCTGGATTATGCTTCCTAACTGTAACTTAGGAACATAGAAGCTGTCTGAACATTCAGACTGAATTATTCTCCAAAGTCTCTCACATACAACATATCAGTGTCCAATTATGGTCATACTGGATGAATAAAGATTTATCTTTAAGGCTCGTTGCACAATATGGAAAATGGAAAAATTGTTCCACCTGCTGTGCATTTGCTACTCCTATATTTTAGACAAAAAAAGAGGGAGGGTAACAGCATCTCAGATGATGTTCAGCTGGGCAAAAGTTTTACAGGCAAAAGGCAATTACTTGTTGCAAAGCAGAAATAAATGTTGGGGGATAGCAATGGCATTTTAATTTTTAGCCATCTTTTCCTGTGTTTGAGAAGTTCTTTTCCACAGTAGACATAGTTTCCATTCTTTTCCATAGTAGATGGTAGTTTTAGTGATCTGTGATTTACAAATATGTAATTAATCTTTAATGGATTATATTCTCCCAAAATTGACTACCTTTTTTTTTTTTTTAAAAAAAATAAAATAAATAAAGGCAGGCCAACAGGAGATACTATCTAGACCAGTTTCAGTACAGACTAAGTCATGTGAAGACAACAGACAGAGGTATGTGCTTTACAAATACTGCATATAATTAATGGGGAATCTTTCACGCTGATCCTGCACACCCTGATTTACCCCTAGTCACGCTCCTGTTTTATCTATCTTTGCAGCATAGTGGATTGGGGAAGTCTAAACTTTTTCCTATTATTTGAAACAACTGATACTAAGTAAGTGTTGTTATTTCAAGGAAGTCTTAAATTTGCTGAAATGTTCTATCTAGCATGCTAAGTAGTGCTGACATCTGTAAAAAAGCAAGGTAAGGTAACAGGTTTCTTTGCAGCACAAAACAGTAGACACTCAGCAGCAGATGTTTTTTAACCAGTTCAGCTGACAAAGCAAAGAAGTAGATACTGGTTCACATTTAACTTGGCCTAAATGTTCTTGGGACAGGAAGTGCTTGCTAAAAAAAAAACCAAACCAAAAAAACCCAAACACAAAAACCTAAGACAGACAAACGTTCAGCTGCCACCCTCTGGAACTTGGATATCATTACACTTCTGAGGCCAACATACCTTTGGCCTGTATGAACATAGTTACAAGTGTGAGTTTTGGCCTGTATGTTCAAACCAGTTAACTCTGGAGTGGATACATAGCAATATTTACTTAGTTGTTCAGGGGCATTATTATTTATTTAGTTGTTCAAGGGTTTGTATATTGATAGTACAGGAAGTGGGTAAAGTTAGGACTGACTAATACACAGTTTATCAAGGATCTGATCTGGTAGGTTCCTAAATTTATGATGCCACTAAGCTGGGTAACAAAGATACAGGGCCAGACTACAAGGTCTTCAAATGTTAAGCTGCAGTTGGGAAACTCTTTTGAAAAGTAGATGCAAAAGTCTGCCAGAGATAGTAAAATAACTACTTTTGTGCAGAGTAAAAGTGAAAACAAAAAGTGAGGTCTTTTTATGAATGAAAAAGGGTTTTTTGGTACACAAAAAGGTGTGACAGCAAGTCTGTGATAGAAGCCTGGCTATACTGGCAAAAGTTTGCTCCTATAGTTACAAATATTCCTGAACTATTTTAAAGCCATATGTGTCAGTTGTAGAGGGCAAAAAAAAAAACCAAACGAAGAAACTCCATATGTTATCAGTATAATCATGCTTTGCAGACAAATTCTGGATCTTGCTTTAGTTTTATGTTCTGTTAGATGGATTTTGAACAGTAGACAGAATTTGAAGAACTTCAAACTGGAGTTGAGTTATAGGGCTGTTTTATGAAGTAATGGGATCAGAGGATTCAGCCCCACAAAAGGATTTCACAGCTTTGATGGTATACATTTGACATAAATGGGAGTACTGGAATAATTAAAAAAAACACTGGCAATTAACATGTCAGAGTAGCAGCTGATCTACCAATTACCTACATAAATTAAAACACCTTAAAACAACCACAGTCTGTGTTCTGGTAAACATTTATGTGAGAGAAGAATTGAAATACCGTGCTGTAGTGAAAAAAATTAGAAATGTATGCTAGGAATTAGGCACACGGATCATCCATGAGTGAACATTGAGGCCATTCAATTAGATTAGTTCCAAGTATTTAATATTTAATTAAATTTTTTTTCCTTTCAAAATTGTGCAAGCAGATAGGCCATAAATGTAAAGGAAGCACTTCAGATATTTTTGAAATATCCATTTGAAATTTCCATTGATTCCTTTAAGGAGAATGAACACTAAAGCAACTGGAAACAGGGGAGAAATTGAAGCAAAGAAAGAAGTAGTATTGGGGGGGGGGGGGGGGGGGGAGGGAAGACAGTTTAAGAGGAAAAAAAAGTAAGTAAAAAAAAAAGGCAAAATATTTCAGTAGTATTTAAGTAACTCTCCAAGTCGGTATATATACTAAAAGAAGTTGTTCTGGAGTTTTTTAGCATAATTTTTGCAGAGAAACTTGAATTACATAGAGACAAAGCAGCTCCAGTGACATCACATTGAAATCAGCTTTTGTTTACACTTTCACTCTACAGAACATTGCCAGGCTCATGGCAATGGGAACTGTATGCGCATGGGCAAGCATGCTATAGGCTCTGAATAGGATTAGCAAACACAAAGGGTTTGCTCATGCACATGCATCTCGTGTTTACATGCAGAGATGGAATTGTTAAACATTAGCTTCTGTTTCAGTGTTGCCACAATACTCTAGCTACTTATTTGTATACCTTTTCAGTATTTACATATTTATTTCACTTACCAAACAACTGTAGAACTGTATTATGAGGTTTTAAAAATGGGTTGTCAGGTATGGGGAAGAGGAAAGAAACCATTAAGGTTAAAACAAGTTTGAGGAATTTAGTGAACAATGAGGGTTTTTTTGTTCTGTTTTGCTTTGTTTTCTTTTTTTTTAAATAAGTCCCTGAGACAACAGATACAGTAGGAACAAATTAGTCTATTGATGGAAAGAACATTATTGTTTTCTTGAGTGTAGAGAGCGTTGTATTTTCGTATTTTTCAGAATAACATGTAACTGCTATTTCTGTGGCAGAAAATCCTCACCTTCTGCATGCTCCTAAAGCTAGCCAATGGGAAGGAAGCATGAGGAAAATAGGGTAAATAGACAAAACCTAATCATCCTATGCTCTTGAAGTCTGTTGCCAGCCACACACAGATGATTTCTCCAGGGTTGGTTTTTTTTTTTTTTAACTTATTAATAAAATATGGAGCTTTGTGCAGATAATTTTCGTTGATGAATGGATGTCTGTGAAATTTTTAAAGGCAAGATCTAAACATTTGCTTAAATGAGCTGGGCAAAAAAATTGAGGTGACAATGTGCCTGAAATTTAAATTTGATTCCAAAGCTTTAATAAGCCAGCATTTTAATTGAAATAAAAAATTATAAAGGGTAGTAAAAAAGTAGCTTTTCAGTGCAATAACACAGATCCACGTAACTCATTCTGAAAGCAAAAAAGTTACAATATGACAAGAAGCTTGACCTGAACAGTACACAGCATGCTAAAACTTCCTTCTTGTTTCTAGGAGATTTTAAAAATAATCATTTAACCTGAAGTTCAGTTACTAAGCAGCATGGTTTCAGCCAAATAAGCAGATAGGAAGGCTGCTTATTCTATTCCTGTTTTTTTCATCTGTAAAATGGATACAATATTTGTAATACATATTTCAGAGAAAAGTCTGTGAGGCTTAATTTATACATTGCTCCCACCTCATATTCACTTGATAGTCCCTGTCAATTGACTTGACAACAGTCAGTCTGAGCATACAATTGCACTCCCTTGTAGGATGTAGAGGGCACTGGTTTGTATCTTAATTTTCTTTGTATTAATTCAGGGATTTGTATGTCGGGTAGGTGTATTAACCACTGAGCTGTTGGTGATCTTTGTTAATGGATTGTCAGTCTCTCTTGTTGAAGCTGATAACATGCTGCATACTGGCTAAGTACTCCCTGGTACAGGGAATCAGTGATCTTAACAAGCCAGTAGTTGCAGCAATTACCTGAATTGCAACAGACAAGATTCAGATTCTGGTACATAAGTAAACTGTTGTACTAGATACCCTAGACTCACCAGGTGGTTTAGATAGCAAATGAGGTAGAATGGAAAGACAGAGAATGAGACTAAATTTGTGATTGAACTTAGTATATGTTCCCACCTTAGGTCTATTGCTTATTCTAGACATTATAAAAATGTTATTCTCCCAATTCTGACAGGTGGGTTGAATTTTTATTGTAAAATGTTTATTTTGTTACACATGTTCAGTGAATTTTTATTTTTTTTATTTTTTTTCTGCAGAGATCCACTCTGTCCTGAAGTTTCATCTCTTAAACACTCACATGCCGAGGTACCAAAGCTATCCTGGTTAATTTCTCTTCTAGTATAATTTCTACACAGTACTTCTGGTTTTGAGGCTGTGCTACACTGGGGACTTAAATGGGTGGGACGCCAAAAGGAAATGATGTTCAAAGCAGTGCTACAGGGACAGTGTTACCAGGGTTTCTCAGTGCCACTGGTGGTTAAGTGGACTTACATCACATTTCATTTTTATGTTCTATCTTTCCTCTTCTGTAAAGTATTGGCAGAAGTGTTCAGTGTTTTGAACATGAAATTAAGAATTCCAAGTGCAAAATATTAGAACATAATTAATCTCTTCCTTTCTCCCCTTCCCTCCCCCACCAGTAAAACACTAAAGGCAGTAGTACTGCCTTCTAGATGTAATAATAAACAAGTAGTCAAAATAACTGAATACAGGAAGAGAAATATAATAGAAAAAGGAGACTGAGATTAGGAACAAACTCAATAGTCTGTAACTACAATTACATTGAATCTTTTATGAGGTGAGCTAGAACTTCCAAAATACTGTCTTCAGTTATTTATCAGAATACAGTAGAAAAAAACCTAATTTTTGAAGAATACTTATTTGGGTGAAGGTAGCAAAAATATTCTTAGATCTTCCTTCTACAGGGAATTTATAAGATTAAAGTAATGCATAAAAATAGCATGTTTTTGAAGGTACGATAAGCATTTTTCAAAGAAATGCACTCTGTTGACAGTCCAATAGTTAATACCTTGATAATAACCGAGAGCCTTGCTTATGCATGAATTTATTATGAGTATGTGTGCAAAAACTCCCACAAGCAGATGACTATTGGATGTATTATAATTTGGACATATGGACATAAAAGTTGCAAGATAAAGATGAGTGCAAATAAAACTGAAAGATTGTGCTTTTGAAAGTTTGAAAAGTATACTTTGAAAACTATCCTTGAGTCTGAATATATGAAAAAAACCAACCCACAACAAACACTAGAAAAAAGTAATTCCTAACTAATTAAAAAAAAAAAATCACTGGTTTCTGAAAAAAATTTGTAGCTAGCAAACAAGAAGAAACGTGCTTCCACGCCCACGGCTCAGAGCAGACCATACTCTGGAAGTAAGGGAAAAAGAACAACTCCAAGGTATGTTACACACATCTCTTTTTGTTCATAATAAAATATTTTAGTTGCCATTTTTGTCTATCAGGTTATTTTTATTCATGTATGCTTCTGCATTTATATATATTTGTATAAATAAGCATATCAAACTTCTGGTCCTCCTCAGTTAGCTCCACCATGTAGCTATCTCTGTTCACTTGCATAGAGCACCAGAAAGTATTTGTGAACATACGTGATTAATACTACAACAATGAAACTGTTGCTTTCTGCTCAAGCACTCTCAAAGCTGACAGCTAAACTCTTTTAACTCCTTCAGTGAAAGTATGCCTAATGAGCATACATGTGGGAAATACATAATCTGAGGCAACCTGAGAGAACACACTTAGGTGGTGCAGACTGAGTTGTGATCAGACTTGGGATGCGAAACATGAGGCTCTTGAGGGTCTCCTCTATTTTGGTGAATCTTGGGCTCACAGGACAAGAGTCAGTAATAGTACCACAGCTTTCAGGGGTTTCAAGCTGAAAAGCTTCAGCTCTGTAGATAGCACATTCAAGGTTGTAAAACTAAGAAATTGAGATCTGGACAAAAGAAGAGAGTAGAGAAATGCACAAAATCCTGGGAGCAAATTAAAACTACCACCAGATATGAACAAATACCAAAATAGGATGAAAATTGTCTGCAAGGTGGCAGAACATGGATCTGACACAGGCCGAGGTTGTCATTCAGGACTTGGAAGTGACTTGTGGACCCTTTGGACCTCCCTTGCGCAGTTCAGGGGAGACTGTTATGCTGACACCACATCATGAGATTTAGAAGTGGAATTGTGCAGATAACAGGACTTGCAGGGTGAACCCGAAGTTGCGGGAGAAAGTTAGCAGCTAGGAATTTGAAGGCTGCATTGGGATGAGAATGTATGAGAATAAGAATTTAGGAGCTTCAGATCCTGCGGGAACTAATGTCATCTTTTTGTAAAAGAAAGCTGAGGAGATACCCTGCGTAGCAGATACATCACATACCTTGTGTTTTGGTTTTATGAAAACTTTCGTATGCAACTTCTAGGATCAGTGAAGTTTCCTAGGCCAGGCATAATGATACAGAAATTGCGGTAAGGTGGGAGTATAGCTAGAGAGGACAGAGTTCTAGAAGTTAACGTGTGTGTGAAAAATATCACAATTTAAAGCAGAGGATAGTAGCTAAAGCCAAGAGAACATTCCTCCGTTTCTTTGTTTTACTCTGGTTTAGTTATGAAGTTGTTGGATGAGAAGAGCATGCCAAAATATTTTCAGCACAAAATGGTACTGTTTCTCTGCCTCCTACATTATAATATGTAAAATCCTGTCATTGTTTATGTGGAATACAGTCAAGGTATCTTACATAAAGAAAATGAGAAATTGCCATCAATGCACCTTTCATATTAGTGCAAGCAATGAAGTTGCATTAAGTAAATAACTCTGTATACTCTTAAAAATAGAAAATATGCTATATTTTTGTAAATTTTTTTTATTATAAATTTAAAATCTAGTGTTTGGGGTTTTTTAGTTCAAAAATAAGAAACGTGGAAGTACAAAGTGCCGATGATGTTGCAGTACTGGAGGATTGCATGGATTTTTCTTTAGCAAAAACAATAAGCAAGATTGAAGAAGAACTAGAGAAAAGAGGCTTACCAGATTGTCTAGATGATGATATTATTCCAAGCATTGGAAATGAAATCGGAGCAGGTAGGTTTCCTCCCATCATTAAGTACTTTTATTCTTACTTCCTGACTGTTAGAAATGGATTCTCCTGGGGAAAAAAGGAAGAGTTTCTGTAGGAATTACAGGAAAAGTTCTAAAGCCCCTAAGTTAAAGGAAAAGAAGGTTTTTCTTCTTTATGTAGTCTTAGAGGAAGATCAGGTCACATACGAATAGTCATGGGAAAAAGTGAATTTTTATCTTGATTTCCAACTTTGTAGGAAGATGTTTGGATGGTTACATGTATTGAATATGTGCATAACATTTGATTCATTTCACTGGGGGGATAGAAATACATGATGCTAAGCTTGTTATTTCCAAAAAGATGTGCTTCAGTCCTTTGCGCAGATCCTGCCTTTAGAGGACGAAGCCTTTCCTCAGATCAATGCTGTGGATCTTAGTAAGTGACTTAAATGAGGTAATGTTTCGACTACAGTACCTGAATGAGAGTCCTCCAGATACTTTCCCACTCCAAATGGTGTATTTATGTTTGTCCTAGAAATAGAGTAGGAAAGCTGATTGCACAATTTGCCAGTGAAGCTAAAGACATGATACACATCTGTCTTTTTGGCTCTGGTGTGATAAAAGTGAGTTTGTGTAGTTTCTTACAACGCTAAAGCAAGCACGAAGTCAGAGATTCACTGCAGTAGTACAGAATGCACAAAACCTCTTCTTCTGATATAACAGCTTGATGTCAGCAACCATGCCAACACAGAAATAGCTTGATTTCTAACCTCATGTAATTCTGTGCACATCTTCTGTTAATAAGTCTCCCAAAACAGATCCTCAGATATCTTCTTTATAGTTCTTGTTCCTGAAGTAAAAAGCAATTGTTTTGGACTGCATTGGAAGCTTACACCAAATAAATTCAAGGTAACTCAAGAAGAGTTTTTACTGGTGTCTAGTAATCAGGTCTTGTGGACTGAAGGGCATGTATTGTGAGTATTGAGACTTGTTTCTGTAACTTTAATGATGAAATGAAAATACTCTGGATTGCTTTTTGCTTTTTAAATTTGATACTGACTATTTAGAACACTGAGTGCCTCCTTAATATGCTAAATAAGTTATTGCAGAGCATGCTAGCAGTGTCAAACTCACAGAACAGTTAACAGTTTTCAGAAGGAAGTAGATGTAGATACTAAATAAGCCCCGTTACAGAGTGAGCTGGCTGATCCCTTAGTGAGAATCTTCTAGTAACGGATTCTTTAAGCTTATGTGCCTGTGCTAGACTTTTTAGGCCAACGTGCTGATAAGGTTCTATAGCATTGTCCTTTCCCTAAGCTTCTCACAGTGCTCTTCCTGGCCTTAGGTTCCGTATCTTTATTTCACAATCACAAGTCATCACAGTGGAACCATTTTTCTGCCAACACAGTAGCTTAAACATTATTTTTATCAGGGGCTGTTTTTGTGGGTTATAACTCAACTCTGCAGTAACAAGCAATGACAGAAGCACACAAACATGTAGAAGGCTGAAGATGAAGCTCTATTTTTATCTAATATACCCACACACATATGAACAAAATACCTGAATGTGTTTTTGCACTTCATGTTAATCTTCAGGTTATTGCAAGAATTCAAGACACCTCTTCTTTCTTGGAGAGTATCAGAGTCTCCTAGATGTTCTTTTCTTGTTTACTATTCCCTCAGCTGTTGGTTATTTTATAACCTAAGACCATCCTATTAAGTGATACCCCTCCTCCTTATCAGCTTCATCAGGTGATTAAAATTGACCAATTAGGAAGCTAATTGTTTAATTATCTTTACCTCTTGTAAGAATTCATACTAATTCTGGATCATAGCCACCTCCCAAGGCTGATCTGGTTCTAGTCGTGGTCTTGGATTTTCAGTAAGGTTTACTACTAAGTACTCTTAATGGCACACAGCTGTCTTAAGACAGAAGAGAAGTTGTCTGTGGACTAATAGCTGAGTAAAAAAGAAAACAAAATGGTAAAAAGAAACAACACTTTTTTGCAGGTAGTGGTATAGCCGTAGGGTCATCTGTCATGGAGTTTACACTTACAGAAAAATAATCTGGAAAAAAGGAACAATAGCTGGTAAAGAAATTTGTATATGAAACAACAATTCTAGGATAGTTAAAACTGACTGAAGTGTTGTAGAAGAATCTCATAGTACTGAGTGAGGTGATAGAATGGAAGTTTATATTCAGCATTAAAGAGTGCAAAGTAATGTTGATAGAAGAAAGAACTCCAATTACACCTACTTCTGAGCTGGACTTTATTTAGTTACTACTAATTAAGATGTCTCCAAAAGCATAAACTTAGTGCTTGTTCACAGTGGAAAAGGCAAATTGATTGTTAGAAATCCTTCAGAAGATAACAGAAAACAAAATACTGTACTGTTATCATTATGCTATTATGTAATTGATGCTACCCCATCTTGAGTATGACACACAGTTCTGCACACCCCATCTCAAAACCAGGATGTAGAACTAGGAAGGATACAGATAAGAGTATATAGTAGCAGTTAGAAGCATGGAACAACTTGAATTTGAATCTTCAATTTGAAAACAAAACAATTGAAGGCAATATGAAAGATTCTGTAATGAAAACAATAATGGTAAAGGGAAAGCTGTCCTTTTGTAATGCAAACACTAGCAAATGCCACATTAAATGGGACTTAAAGCAAACTATATAAAGTGTTTTTCTTTCACATAATGCATAATTAAATTAGCCAACTCATTGCCACAGGATATTGTGAATGCCAAACTACAATATGTTTTATGAAGAAAATCAAACAACTTAATAGTATAGAAGTACATGAAAGAGTATTAAACTTGATGGCTTCAATATGGTCTCTATCTCAGGATGGCCACTAGTTAACAGAAGCTAGCAAGGATGTAACAGGAGGAAAAAAGTCTGTATCTTATTTTTTCATGGTGGTTTCCTAAATCCTACTTATTATTGGCCTGGAAGGTGGGTGAAATTAAAAGAATTCCTATTAAAGCAAATGAACACATATACCCATCCATCCCTTCACATTCAGCTCTAGATACTCCTCCTCCACTTTATTCTTTTCCCCTTCTACCTACTGTGAGTAATGGTTATTCCTATGTTGCTCAACTTGATCCTCATACTGTTGCCATGCTTTGTGCCTGTGGAAGTTCAGGGGGTTCCTTGTGAATGATCTGGGAAAAACATGGGGAATAGGGAGTAAAAGAACATACTGTTCACACACAGCTTGTTTTGTCATGACAGTAGTACATTTCTTAGGTGTCCAAGAGCAAGAAAGTACTTCATTTGAAAAAAACATATGATTAAATTGATTTAATTTTAAACTATCAATTGAATAATGTTAGCAGTGTACTTCAAAAAAGCATAGACTACTGTGTGGGAGGGGCATTTACCTATTAGGAGAGTTTTGCAGTCTACATTTAACTCCTTGTTGTGAGCAGTTTAAAACTACTTGCCTGTAACTACACAAATTTCAGCTACAGATTGATTGCAATGTAGACATACCCTACAATGTAGTTTTCTTGACTTCAGTCTCAAGGAATGCTGTTATGTATAGCATAGTACAACAAAAGTTTCCAGTAAGTTTCCATTTTGAGGGTTACAAGTCTTTTACATTTTAAAGATGTCGAGTTTTATTTGCCTGTTTCTTTTTAATAATTATAAACAGTCTAGTGTGTTTTAAAAACAAGAAGATGAAAGTGAGTTCTTACATCAGTCTTTCTTCTTTTCTGCATTGGATAATGAGTACTTGTGGATATTAAATGTAATTTTTTATGTTCACAGAAGCTCAAATCAGATTTCTTAAGGCAAAGTTACGTGTTATGCAGGAAGAGCTGAATAGTGTAGTGTGTGAATGCAGGAAAAAGGTAAGAGCTGAGTTTTCTTATCTGTGGAAGCGGAGTAGGTTCCCCTTTAACAAATAATCACAACAGAGTTCCCTCAACCTTTCCTTTTCATGTATTAAGAGCTAAGGTTCTATTTTTAAAAATTTCCTAAGATTTTAGAGTCAAGGATAGTAATTTCTGTTTAAATGTGATCTTGGGCTAAAAGCTTGTGAAATACACTTAATGAAAAAGCATTTGAGGCAGGAAAGAACAACTGGGAATGAAGATGTACCCCAGCTGTAGGGACACTGTGCCGCTGCAGAGTGCAGTGGCCATCACTGCTGGGAAGGAGAGCGTTACCAGAGCCTGAGGAAAAGGAGGAGGATACGGTAGCAGTCAAATACAGATTTTGATATACAGAGAGAAGATGAGTGGTGCCCAGAGCTGGGTGATAGGAGAAGCGGGATGTTTAGGGTAGAATGAGAAATAAAAAAGCTTGAGAAATTTAGTCAGGTGCTTGGTGGAACAAAGTGTGGAAACAGCTGATCTCTGATCTGTGATTCACTATAAGTGGAATATTGTAATCAAAACAGAAATCAGGCTTTCTCCATTCTGAAGATTACACTTGATGTGGAGGACTGTATTTGGAATTACGTATTTGGGCAGATCAGACAGGAGTTAAGGCATTCTGAAGCCACACTGGTATTTTACTGTTGGAGTGTAGTACAAGTGAGTTCTATGATCTGCACTGTCTGGCAATATGTTTACAGTTCTCTTGAACTGTAAAACCTTAAATAGTTTGTGTCTGTCTGCCAGAGGGGTCGCCTCTTTTTCATGCATTTGTAATCAAGCAAGGTTTTTGAACTAACTTTCCATTTTACACAATTAGATTATTCTTAGTTGTGGTCTCTTAATTTCAGAATGCTTTTTTCCACCTATTCCCCAGGCCTAAATATGATGATGACATTCAGAAAACCTGGCAAACCACCTATATGTTTTCTCTCAAGCTTTTAATTTAGAGTTAAGGAGCAGGATGATATTAAATAGTTTTTTTTGAGATAGGTACCTGGAAAAAATCTTTAGAAGGAATTAGATTTTGATATTTTATATCTGTACTTTATACTTTTTTTCATTTTTATCAATGCAAATGCTTCTGCATTTCAATACTTCTATGCTGTGGTCAGAAGAAATTTGTTACATTAGATTTTAAAGACATTTTAATTTTCAAATCAAATATTATTTTGTCGATAGCTATTGAACTTCATCATTCCATGCCAGAACTCCACTACAGAATTTAGTTGCTGTAGCAGATGACAGGAGACAGTCTTGTACCTATTCTTGTCTTGCTCCCATAGCACTCTGTATGTAAATGTATCATTTTGGGTACTAGTTTCTCTGGTGTGAAATATTACATTCAGAAAGTCACAAAAATTTCATATTGGCAAAGCCTTGAGATAGATTCTGAGTTTTGTTCCAATTCACAGTCCTATTATTATAAGGAAGCAGTAAATCTGTTTTAAACATAAAGAAGTGGGAGTTTCTGAGGTGTGTGCAGTCACATGAAACTTAGGGTAAAGCACATATATTTTCCAGGTGAGAAGCATGTATTCCTAAGGGCTGAGAGGGCAGGAAAGAAAGCCTTGTTTTCATAGAAACACCATTTCTGTATGTGTCTTGATTTCTTTTTCTTAAAGAAATGAAGGGCATAGTGTATCTCTGAAATAACCTACATTAGTATTCACTTATAATGTTTAAAAGGTTATAAAAGAAAAATGCCTTGAAATGATAATGCTTAATGTGGGATGTAATTGCCAGTAGGGCATGAATCTAATAGAGGATTCACTTGATGTTAAGAGAATCTTCAATTTGAATACTTGATGTATCCTGGATCATTAGCTTGCTTTTAAGTCAAAACCAGATAATCTCCTAAAACATAATGGATTGATTTATCAGTAATTATATTCTCTTCTTTTTCTCAGAATTTTTCCTAATGTGTGCATTTAGCTATTCTCACAAAAATGTCACAAAATGTGTGCCACTGTTAGTCATATTATTCTACAACATTTTGATAGTTAGTTCTCAAAACCTTTGAACTATGAGAAATTAAATGTTTTACATAGTGTTACAAGACAGTTCCAAGTAAAAGACTGCAGAAAATGAAATGAGAAAAGTGTTACTGTTTTTTGAAGTATTGTCCTGGTTAAATTAGTGTTTTGTTTTCTTAGTTTGTCTTAGTTGTTTACTTTCTTAAAATTGTTGTGAAATCCATCATGAAGGATCTAAACATTTAAAAATAACATAATTTAAAAAAATCGTTATCTCCATATCTGCAATATGTATATTTTTACTGCCTTTTATTTACAAAACATTACTATTGCATTATCCTACCTCTTCCTTGCAGTAATTTAGTTGGGGTTTTTTTTGCTAATTACTGTCAAACAGGATGATGAAAATCAGAATTTAAAAACTCGGCTTAAAAGTACTGAAGAAGAAAACACCAGACTGCAACGAACAATCAATATGCAACATTCTCAGACTGAAAAGTACAAAATGTTGTCACAAGAAGCAAACAAAAAAAGTGAAGGGCTACAACAAGAGGTCATTGCGCTAGAAAAGGTATTGCAGAAATTAGTCTCACTTATCTCACGAAAGGGAAGAAAACTCATCAGATCACCCTCTGTACCCTAGTTTGATAGATTCGTATCCAGTGATCCCATTAGCATTTCAATCTGTGATAATAGTTTTAGAAATTGTATTTTTAAATGATCTAACCACTTTTTTAAAGGAAGAAATAATGTATTTTGATTTTCTTCTGCTTCTACAATCATATATTTCTGTATTTTAAAATTAAATTATTGTGTAAAAGACCCACAAGAGACAAAGCAACCTTTTCAGAAACTGCTGTCAAATTCACAAAGGAATCTTGAAAAATACAGGGAAATTTTATTTTTCTGGTTTTAATTATAATTGTTAAAAATTAATTCTGGTAATAAGAGTGTTATTGTAAACTGTAGAACTTGGTGAACATTATAAAAAAACCCACCTGCAGCTTATAGTAGTATCTTCTGCAGGTAGAGGGAAGGATGTGTCTTTGTTGTTGAAAATGGACTGTTTGAAAACCAGCCGCTCCAATTTGGATTAATCAAAATTAACCTGGCTCCTGCTGTAGGCCACATATGCAAAATTGTGTATGTGCCTAGTTGTAGCAGATGGCCTGCATACACAGCTTTGTTTGTTTGGAACTTAGATTCTAAGAGCAGCATGTGTTTTTCTTTAATTACTCAGAGCTAGAGAGGTTGACTTCAAAATCATGTAATAAATATAGTATTGTGTAGTACATGTAATATAACTAGGAGAATGTTTCACTTAAAAATTTTGGGAAAACAGAACACAACTCAGCCTAACAAAGTCTTGTCATACTTCCATTAGATCATACTATGCATTTGTATAGGCATGCTTTCATCTTAAATTTCTGTAGTTCTGGCATTTTAAAACTAAAATACTCTAAGTTTGTGTGTTCTTTTTGTGCAGATACTTGGAGGTTTTAAGTAGCCTGATTATTGATTCTGTCAGGAAAAATATTCAATACTAGTATGCATACTACTCATTGGCTCACAGTAAATATAGCTAAGAGATTTACAAAGTCCATTCTCTTAATAGAATAGATAGATTATATCCAAACCATCCCGGACATGTTTGTTTAACCTGTACTTAAAGCCTTCTGTGATGGCAGTTTCCATAATTTCCTTAGTCTATGCTGGTTTGTGCTGGATAAACAGAAAGTTTATCCCAGTATTTAGGAGATGTCTGTTGTGATGAAGTTTATTCACTTCTGTCATACAGCTACCATATCCAAAATATGGTTGGTTTCCTCATTTGTCTTTGCTCAGGATTTGACATCCTCAGTTGCTTCAATTATTTGTAATGGGCTGTGTATTCTAGAATTTCTCAGGGTTACTGATCAGACATGATCATGATAGATAGTGGTAGTTCTTTAAAGTACTAAGAAGGCAAAAAAGGCAAGTGTATGTAACGAATGGTTCTCTGCTAATTCAGAAGTTATTTTACATATTTTTTCTGATAGAAAAAATTATCTAACTGCCAAAAACATGCATTTAAAAATAATTTTGCAGTAACTACTTAAATCTCTTATGGACTTAGCAATCTGAAAATTGTTTTATTTTTTAGGTAAGAAGTATTATTCAACACTATATAATAAATGTAGTTGTAGACTAATTCTAGACATATGTTTAAAAACAATTTTCTGTGAACACAGGCCTGAATTTGTACTGCTGTGCCGCAAAACTCTCAAGGCGCATACTTTCAGTCTAGTGAAAGTTTTCTGTATAGTTGAAATAGCACAAATGTAACCTTGAATGATATTTGCGTTGCTTTTGTTGTGATCTCTGTTGCAACGTAAATGATAGAAGACTTAAGTTGTGATACGTGCTTTCCCAAGCTTCCTTAGATTAGCAACAATATATGCAATTTCATTAATCCCTGAGCTACTTTTTTTGTATGTGCCTAGGCTAAGATTCTGATGTAGTTTTCACAATTTACCTGAAACATGGTAATTGAAACATGGTAATTTGTTTGTTATTTTTACATTTCCTTCTTTTGGTGTTTGGTCTCTGTGAACATTTCTGCTGGAACACCCACCACAGGCAACAGCTGAATTCTGATGCTCCCCGAAAATTCCATCCTCTTCTTTTCAGCATTCCTCTTTTTTTTCCATCTAGTTGGTCCGATAAATGATATCACCTCTCCTGTCTTTTTTCACCACCTGTCTACAAGAACATTCCTTCCTCTGTGTTCTCTCTCACTTGTTAATTCAATCTAGTGATAATGTTAGATAAAGGTCAGGGAAACACTAAAGTAGTGCTCTTACTCCTTTTAAGGCTTTGTGCAGGGATTTTATAATTTGCCTTGAAGAAGGGCTTGATGTTAAGCAAACATTATCTCTCAAATGTTTTTGGGGGTGGACAGGTGTTGCTGAGCTTTCTAAAGATAGAAGTGCTGTGTGTGCTTGCTACTGGGAGGAAAGAAAGCTTGCTAGGAGCGTTAGTCACGGACGAGCTCTCCGGTATCACACCCCCCCTATTGATATTCAAATGCCCCAGCCATGCCGGAACAGTGGGGAAAATCCAGAGATTGAAATGGGATGCAGTTTTAGAACACAGTAGTTTTTTTCTCCTTCCTAGAGAAACATATGAGAAAATTAATCCAGCTTTTACTTAAAGTATTGAAGAATTGGCAGAAACCTTGCCTACTTACAAAATAAAATACTTATTTCAGGCATTTTTAAGATGAAAAACTTGGAGTCAAATATGTTTAACAATATACCTTCACTGGATGATTTGCAAGCAAGTCCTTGATAAGGTATTACATATGACAGTAAATGTCAAAGAGCCCTAAAAGTTTTATTAGAATTCTTTCATTAAATTATATGATTAGCTGATACATAATTTGCATTGCATGCAGACTGTTTTTTTGGTCATTAAATGCTTGAAAGGCTATATTCCAAAGCTTTTCATATTAATGCAGAATAAAATACCTAGCACAGAAGATTTAGTTGACTCTATTCACAGCTCCATCATCTTGATACAGGACAAAGAGGTTTGTGTGCTGTGCAGCTTGTTTTCTTTGGAAACATGGGTGTCAGTTTCCAGCAAATGAATTTGCATTCCCTGATGATGCACCTGCACGTGTTCCACAGAGGGGTGCTGCTGCCCTACTAGCCAGGCTTTTACCCATCTTTTTTTAATCAATCAGATGGACAGGCTAGTGATAAAATAAAACTGTTGAAGCAACATCTGTTTTTGTGAACTCTTGGAGGAGACACATTCACCAACAGAGTTTTGGAGGATTAGTGAGATGCATCTTACTCTCCTGTTTTCTTCATCCATTTTGGCGAAGATTCAAAGCTTCCCAGAAATACCTGTTCCAGCCATAACTTTGCCAGAACATCTTTGCTGCATACACTTGTCAATTAGTATGTATTTCTTGGAGAAATTATGTGGAAAACATAAGTAACCACCACAAGAGCTGGTGTGGAATTGAGAAACTACAACAATTACTCAGAAATAAGGCAGTCTGAGGGCAAAAGGTTAACGACAAGCCCCCTGTCTACCCTTATTTGGTTAAAAGAATCTTTCTGTGCCCATTACTAAAATTTTTTTTTAAAAGTCTATTTCTTTTTCACAAATGACAAGATGTGCTCTTTCTGCCAGAATTGTTTATTTCTTCTACTTTGTCTTTTATCTATATTCCCTGATCTTTAATCTCATTATTCTGTTCCTCAACTTGGTCTCTTTTTCTCATTTCCCCACTTACAGGACTATGAAATACTATCATCAGAGAAAAGAGGGAACTGTTTTGATTGTTGCCATAAACACTTGATGAACTACTTTCTGCTAGATGAAATAGTTACTACCCTCAGCCATCTTCAGTAGGCTGGTTTAACTTTTTGTTGGTAATTGCATGTAGTAATCTGTGGGGAAGAGAGGTAAAAGGAACAGGTGGGGAGAAGCAGCCCGGAATACTAGCCGCCATTCCAAAACCTGCCACAGAGTGGACATACCAACATTTTTTTCTCTTTTTCTGACTGAGCATACAAGGTTTTCCAGTCAATTCTGTAGTCTTACATGATCAGCTCCACAATTATTCTAACAGAAGTTTAAAACAGATGCATTCTCTAGATTTCAAAGGAGAAGGGGATGTTTTAACAGTGGAATTAATGGTCTTTGAGACAAATTCTATCTGCAGGCCAAAGTCCACAGACTCTTAAGTTTTCAAGGGTGAGCCTTGCTGTCAATGTGTTGTCTGTATGGGATTCATTAAAATACCGTTATTCATAATGTTTGTTTTTATCCTTTGCTGCTTAAATAGGAATTGGAGAATCTAAAGCGTGTACAAAAGCAGGCTGCAATCAGTCAGAGTGCAACAGAGGTTCGCTTAAACAGGGCCCTGGAAGAAGCAGAAAGGTATAAAGTGGAGCTGAATAAACTGAAGCAAAGTAACAAGGTACAGTGGCTTAGGAAACCAAGTTCCAGTCTGTAATCACTCAGTAATGCTAGAATGAGAAAAAAGGCTTGGGCAGCTTTGTAAGCATTGTGTCTCTTACAGACAGTCCCAAAATTAACTTAGAGCAAGTCACCAAAGGGCTTGGTAAGTTTTCTTGGCCAATGCTACTGCAACCTATGCAGGAAGAACAAATTTACAGAATAAAGTTATAGCCTTTCCGATTATCCCCATTTATGTGAAAATTAGATGTGTTTAGAAAAAAGGGAGAAGTACACATACACACCTAATATATACACAGGCAAACCATGGCTGTTATCTTTGAGATTTTCTTTTCTAAGTTTTGACATGGGAATATTTTGGTTAATCCCATTTCTTTTCAGAAATGTCACGTGTGGCTACCGTTTTCATTTTGTTATGTAATGCCAAGTTTGATTAGTTAAAGCACCACCTTCATAAATAATACATTTCTCCTTTTCTTCCCATGGTAGGATGTAGCTAACCAAGAACTCAAAACAATTGAAGAATTAAAAACAGAAAACAAGAAACTGCAGAAACAAAAAGGAGAGCTAATGACAGGTTTTAAAAAGCAGTTAAAGTTAATTGATATTTTAAAGAGACAAAAGGTAAGGACCAGAGTACTGTTATATTTGAGTTAACCTCTATCTAAATGTATCTGTTGTCAGGTAAGGTAGTCATGTAAACGAGAGCCCCAAGACAGGGAAGTTGCAATGCAAGGGACCAGCCTCACTTTTATTAGTGCATATTGCTAACATTCTGCTTTATAGCAAAGGCTGGTCTTCTTTTGAATTGACCCCATTCGTAACTTGGAACATACCCTGTCACAGTGAAAGATTACTACTGACAAGCTTTAGGACCAAGAGTATCCATGTGTTCAAATACTGTTCAGGTAGTAACAGCAACTTCCTTCGGTGCTGTGTCAGTAAAATCCATTTTAGCGTGCTTTTTTTCAGATCCCTCCCCCCCCCCCCCCCCCCCCCCGCTCCCCTGCTCA